ACTCAGATAAGAACTGAAAGACCAGGATTATTTCACGCTTTGTTTCCAGCATTGGGCCATGCACAGTTTGTCCTTTTAAACAGTCCTCACAGCTGCATCCCATGAAGGGGATCAGGGCCCTTTCCTCCCCCGTAGACCACGCCATTCATGTTTCTCCCTTATCCGCTTCTCCCTGCCCTAGGATGAAGAGGGGATTCCTCTGACTGCCCAGCCGGCCTGTCTCCTTCCCCAGTTTCCTCCACAACCTCAGGGGCCACACTTCCACTCCCTGTCGGCTGTTCCCCCACTCCCTCAGAGTCAGATTCTAACAGGGGCATGACAATAGCAATAAGACTTATGTACTGTTCCATAGAACTTTGCAGCAGGGATCCACAAACCCCCCGATCCCTGGATTGGCACTGGTCTGCGGCATGTCAGAAACCGGTCTGTGCGAATAAGCGAAGATCCATCTGTGGGATGCAGGCAGCACACAAAACCATGGGCCCTCCGGTCCACAGAAAAACCTCTCTCCATGGAACCGGTCCTTAGTGCCCAAAAGGTTGGAGGCCACTGCTTTACAGAATCAACATATTGCCCGCCCCCCAACAATCTGGGTCCTCATTTTATGGACCTCAGAGGGATGGAAGGCTGAGTCAACTTCAAATGGTTGTCCACTCTTTCCTTAGAAACCTGCAGTGTTGGAGCTTCCGGAGACAAGCTGTCCCATTGATTAATTGTTCTAACTGTCAGAAAATTCCTCCTTAGTTCTAAGGCTGGTTCTCTCCTTGTGTAGTTTCCACCCATTGCTTCTCGTCCTGCCTTCAGCTGCTTTGGAGAATAGCTTGACTCCCTCTTCTTTGTGGCAGCTCCTTAGATATCGGAAGACTGCTATCACATCTCCCCTAGTCCTTCTTTTCTCTAGACTAGACCAGAGGTGGAATTCAGCAGGTTCTGACCAGTTCTGGAGTAGCGGTAGCGGAAATTTTGAGTAGTTCGGAGAACCGGCAAATACCACCTCTGACTGGAGGTTTTATAGTATCCTTCCCCTGCCATGCCCACCAAGCCACCACGTCCACAGAACCGCTAGTAAAAATTTTTGAATTCCACCACTGGACTAGACATATCCTATTCCTGCAACAGAAATTTTAGGCTCAGTTATGGTCATAAGTTAAAGACTGCCTTTAAGTTTTCTTTTCTTTTTCTTTTTTTTGAAAAGCTTGAAAGGATGTCCGTTTGGGACAACTTGATCGAATTTGCACCATCCATGATTAATTCTCTTTGTCTCTCTTTCTCCCCATCTTGTAGCCTGGGAAGAAATGCTTAGCAGTGTACAGAGGAGAGGAGCCCATGAACTATACGCTCTCTGGGTGCACAAGTAAGGTCAGCTACAGGCCCAAGTACTGTGGCCTTTGTCTGGATGACCGTTGCTGTAGCCCCTACAAATCCAAGACCATCGAAGTCCATTTTCACTGTCCGGAAGGGACCGACTTTTCCAGGAAAATCATGTGGATTAATGCCTGTTTCTGCAATCTGAGCTGCAAGAACCCCAATGACATCTTTGCTGACTTATCTCATTATCATGCTTACTCCGAAATTGCTAATTAACTTGACAGGAGTTGATGGGAGGGAGGGAAGGAGGGAGAGAAGAACAAGAGGAAAAACAAGCTGCCGTGACCTACAATGTCTTACTACTCTGATTTTACAGAGGGTTAAAAATTAATAATAAAAGGTTGGGGGCTTTTGTTGTTGTTATTGCAACTGTTTCTCCTGGGGCAGGTGAGAAGGAAGCTCTCTCTCTCTCTCTCTCTCTGTGTCCTTTCTCTCCTCTCTGCTCTCTCTCCTTTCTTTTCCTGTTTTCTCTCTCCTTTCTCTCTGCTCTCTCCTCTTTCTCTCTCTCCTTTCTCTCCTTTTTCTCTTTCTCTCTTCTCTGCTTTCTCTCCTCTTTGCTCTCTGCTTTCTCTTTCTCTCTCCTCTTTCTTTCTGCTTTCTCTCTCCTCTCATTTCTTTCTCCTCTTTTCTCTCTCTCCTCTCTCTCTGTGCTTTTTCTTCTTTCTCTCTCTGCCTTCTCCCCCCTCCGTCTCCCTCCATGGTGGTTCAAAGCTACCTTTGGCTCAATCTGTGGATTTTAGAAGGGACGCTGGGAAATCATTGTTGGAAAGCAAGCCGTTAAAAGGTCTTTGCGTGTATCTGCAGCTGCGTGAAAGAGACACTAAACCAATTTTTTACCATCAGGTTTCCGATCTATCAGGCACAAAGTTGCAATAAAGAAATGCCGCGGATGAGCATTTGCAAAGGAACTCATGGGATATTTAATTTTTGAACCCGTTTGCCTTCCCCTTCTCCTGCCTATTTCGGATAGTTCAGTTCATAGTGGCACTTCACTTTGCAAAAGAAGCTCACAAAAAGTTACTAGCCTGTTGTCTGTTTGGGCGAACCAGCGGTGGGCCGAGACGTGTGAGAAATTACGTAGAGAAAAATGGGGATTTTCTATCCAATCCACAACCTGCATTTCTGAGCGGTGCATAAAGGAAGAAGGAGCGATGCTAGGACATTGCTTCCCTGAACAGCTTTTTCAACTTGAAGATGGCAAGGCTGGCTTGGGAATTCTGGGAGATCGGTTTCCCCAACCTTTTTTTGCACTGGGGACCAGTTCTGTGGAAGGCAATTTTTCTATGGACCGGCGGGGGAGGAGGAGGATGTCACACGCAACCTACATCCCATATCTGTGTAGAAATTTTGCTTGCTTGCCTGCAGCTGTGTGGCCTGGTTCTTAACAGGCCATGGACCAGAAACCAATCTGCGGCCCAGGGATTTGGGACCAGGGGTGAGATTCTACCAGTTTGCACCTATTCGCTAGAACCGGTTGTTAACATTCTAAGCAGTTCAGAGAACCAGTTGTTAGAAGAAATTACTGGCCTAATCCTGTAAGGGAGGCAGGAAGGAAACATTCTGGTGTTGCTTACAGAAACCGCCTCTCCGTTAACCCTTATTACATTCTTGGCAGGACTAGACTTCCTGTCTCGGGAACTTCTCTGGAGGTTTTCCCCCTCCTTTGCTGGTGCTTTGCTTGTGTGGAGTGACCATTCAAAGTTACAGTAGCACTGAAAAAAGTGACTTATGACCATTTTTCACACTTACGACTGTTGCAGCATCCCCACAGTCATGAGACGCCAGTTGAGGAGATGCGTGCCTCGATGTGAGTGATATTGAGTTGGCCACACCCAGCCAATAACAGGACCACCAAGCCATGTCCACCAACTAAGCCATGCCCACAGAACCGGTTGTTAAAAAATTTGAATCCCACCCGTTTGGGACCCCTGCTCTAGAAGCCTTGAAAGTCAACAACCTGTGCCTTCTGGTTTCCCCCCAGAAGGGCTGTTTTCGAGTGGCAAAGACAAATCAGTGGACAAGGTGACCATGTCTTCATCCTCTATGCCACTAATCTCATATGCTTGGAATTGGCAAGTCACCAATTGCTCAGGTTTCACGTGTCCCAGGTTGTTCAAATGCCAATTTATAGCTACTTAAGCCCCCTTTTTATCCTTTCATAACAGGCCTAACTAGATGCCCTTCAGTAAGCTGCCATCCTCCAGATATGCAAGGATATCGGTTGGAAACTAGCTTAGTTGTAATCCTGACGCACCTTTCCTAGCACCTAAGGCAAAGAAAGGAAAGAAAGGAAGGAAAGAAGAAAGGAAAAAGAAGGAAGGAAAGAAAAGACAAGAAATAATGGAAGGAAGGAAAGAAAGGAAAGAAAGGAAGAAAAAGAAAGTCTTTTAAAGATTTTTTTAAAAAAGTTCTGCTCATTCAGTTATTTTTAATGAAAAATATTTCTCCTCTTCCCCCCCACCCCCTTCACACACTGTTCTGGACCAAAAATAAACACCAAACACTGCAAAGTTACAAATTTATTTTGTTTAAAATAAATACAAATAATTCATTAATAAACTTTCCCCCCCAAATAGGCAAGTCGAGCCTCTCTACTACGATCTGCTATTCCTCATTATGAACATTCCAGGAAACTCTGAAGTTGTCATTTGAAGAAAAAAAAAAAAAAACGAGAGCAAACCTAGGTACTTAAACCTAGGGTAAAAGAAATCAGTTCTCGTGAACTACCTCAGATATTCAGCTCCAGAGATGCTAAATGAGGCAAATGCTCAATCTCCAAAATTCATTAGCTATATTAAAGTTTTGTGAAGTAGCAAACAGATCAAGCTGGTGGAAAAATAGATACAATTATGTTCCTATAAAAAACTAGAATTCTCATCTACGCTAGAAACCTGTTGAGCTGTCTTGCTCATAAGCTTCCCACCGTGTAAGCGCTGCAGACATCGGCAAAGTAGCTTTTCAATTGTAGAATCAATATAATCTACTTTTTACAATCATCTGACTAAATCTCTATTACAGCCTTGCCTCTTCCTCCAATGCTTGGTGAACCTTTTTTTTTTTTTTAATAGTTCTCGCTGATCACTATACACGATTTCCACTGTCTTAATTTACTGCTCGTGTCAATTCAAGAACGAGATACTTCTGCCCAAAATTATTGGGGAAGTAAAATATCGGGGAGGTGAGCGAGTGGGATAGGTAGGTGGGTGGGTGTATCCCTGCAGGAAAGCTTGCAACACCCAAAGTGGTTTAATTACAGTAAAGAGAACAGCTTTACTATCTGTTGCTGCGGCTTCTTAAATGGCCACCCGTTGAACTGCAACTGCAATTTGGTCTATTTAAGACCAAATGTGGTGCTGTTTCTAAGAATCCTGAAACCTTAACTCTGGTCTGAATATAGCAGCATGAAAGGACCACAGCTAAGTTTTCAGGTCTGCCTGAGAGAGATTTCGTCGGTGGGGGTTTTGCCTCCAGGTTGTATCCGATTCCCCGTTTTTAATGTCGGGGTGTAGCAAATTAAAGAGCCTTGGATGCTATTCACGTAAGCCAGTCACCCAGCTCCCTTTGAGGAATAGGTCTGGTCAGAGCGGAGGCTGAAGGCTTTAAAAAAAAAACCTCCCACTGTTTTTTCTTTCTTCCCCATCTCGCCTTCCACAATGAAGCCTTAAAACAGGGGCCCTCGAACTTGGCAACTTTAAGACTTGTGGACCTCAACTCCCAGAATTCCTCAGCCAGGCTATGTCTACAAAGTCTTGCCAAGTTTGGAGACCTTTGCCTTAAAATCAGACTGGAGGGAGGAAAAAAAAAATATTGTTTCGTTTTTAGAACTGGGCAGAAAAGAAGAGCCAGAGATGACACACGAGCTTCAGGCAATCGCATTCCGAAAAAGACAAGACAGTAATAGGTTGCGATCCTGGATCTTAAAAAAAAAGAAAAAGATTAGATCAATAACTGGATGAGTGTTAAAGCCATCTAGGAGTAAGCTGGAAAGATCAGCCATTTTGATTAGGGAAAGAGAGCATCTAAGATGGTGGTTTTTTTTTTCTCTTTTTTTTTTATTGGTCCCTATGGATTTGGGGAGAAGGGAGGGGCAGCGATCCATTTGTTATGGGGGGAACCCTTTGGTTAATTATTGCAACGCGCAGCCTGAGGCTGCTGCTTGATCTTGGTTTGGACTAAGCCGGCATCGTTTTAACAGGAGACTTCCATCGACTTGGGGCTCGACTGTCCACTGGTCTTGGCAGCATTAGAACTCAGCTCGATGTCTGTGCCCGCACGGTTCCGGGGAGTGTCCCCAGTTTGGGCTCTGCTCCTGGGCCCTTCGCCTGTGTGAGACCGACTTCGGGCACCTTCCCCGGTGTGGGCTCTGCTCCTGTTCCCTTCCGTGGACGTGACGCTGGAACCGGAAGCCGTGCGGGACCGCATTAGCCTGGTCATGCTTGCGGAAGGCACTGTCAACAGAAAACTCGCGGTTACACGGGAGGTATATTAATTTGCGAGGAAGATTATTTAAAAATGGAGAAGGGGGTACGTGCCTCTGTGTGTATGCATTGCATGCGGGTTTTTTTTTTTGAGCCGAGAACCAAATTAGGCCTCGGATCAAAGTGTGAGTAAGATCAGGATAAGAAATACATTTGTTTTATTTGCCTTTATTATTGTCAGACATCAAAGATCAAGTCTAATTAACGTGAAGGTCCAATTAATCTGATATATTACTATTCATGACTATGAACAGGAATCTTCTCAACTAATGGTTAGTGCCTGCTTGGAATTAGAGGCCCCCCCAAAATTCAAGGGGGTTTTGGACCTAGTGTGGCTACATAGAGGTTCTAGACCAAGCGTCTTCAAACTTGGCAAGTCTAAGACTTGTGGACTTCAACTCCCGGAATTCCTGAGCTAACATGACTGAAGGAGGAATTCTGGGAGTTGAAGTCCACAAGTCTTAAACTCGCCAAGTTTGAAGATCCCTGTTCTCGATTAATCCCTTTTTTAACTCCACCCCCAGTTAAACGTCTGTAGAGGTTCTCAAGTCATCCAGGTCATGGTTGTCCCAAAGGTGTTTTTTGTTTTTCCAGGAGACAACTGGACTTGGTTTTTTTATTTTAGTTTGAAGACGTTTTGCTTTTCGTCCAAGAAGCTCCTTCAGCTCTCACAGGATAGTGGGGAATGGAAGGATTTCTATTCCTTGCAGACAGCTTGTCATTTTTATCCTTTTAGAGGGTCGTTGAAGCACTTGGAGGTTTATCTGTGCCCTCAGGATCACAGGAACCAGGAGCACCATTCAGGTGACCCTTTAAAAGGATGCAAATGACCAGCGGTCTGCAAGGAATAGAAATCCTTCCGTTCCCCACTATCCTGTCAGAGCTGAAGAACCTGCTTGAATGAGCAGCAAAATGTCTTCAAAAGAAAATACAAGAAACTCCTGAAAAAGCACCGTTGGTCCACCCCCAGTTCTGCCACTCCTTCCCCTACTCTTATAGAGTTAACAGAATTATTTCCCTTGTTTATGAGGATTAACTTTTATCGTGTTAAAAATTATATATGGAGAGGCTCTGGGGACCATAGCCAAGGCTCCAAAGAATAGGATTTATTTGTGTGCCCTCTGGTGGAGTTTTTCTACCCAACCAGCACAAGAGAAAATCCCAAGACAAAAATCTACCGATTAGAAGTGTTTTGCAATGGAGGAAATAATTTAGAAAGAAGACGGGAGGAAAAGAGAATCGCAAAACCTCCAGAGAGAACAATGACCAAAGCAGACTATCAGCCGGATCTATTGGGACTTCTAGAACAAAACCAACTGAATGCATCGTACACAATTTCAGCCACACAGACACCCACCTGCTACAGAAACTTAGCCAATTTTTTTTTAAAGCCAACAACTACTTACTGTATCCCATTCCCTGAATGAAGTATTTGAAAGCTTCAGCAAGCTTGGCAGGCTGTAAAAAAAGAAACGTAGCATGTGAATGAAATAATTATCTCTTATTAAATATTTTCAAAAACGGAGTTTGGAGAAAGAGCGGTCCAAACAAAAGCTCTCAGATCCATTGGATACTTTTAATACTGTGGAAGAACTGCCAGCTTAAATATCTCTTACCACCCAACACTAAAACCTATGATGAAGTCACCTTGGTACAGTTACAAATTGCCAAGTCTGGTTAGTTAGTTGGCTAGTTATGTGTTTTACTTCCCGCCTTTATTATTTTTTACAAATAACTCAAGGCAATAAATATACCCAACACAACTTTCTCCTCTTATTTTTTCCCCACACAACAAAAACCCTGTGAGGTGAGTTGGGATGAGTGAGTGACTGGCCCAAAGTCACCCAGCCAGCTTTCATGGCTAAGGTAGGTGTCAGTGTTCCAATACAACTCCCTCATTTCTCAAATTCAGCAGTCAGAAACAAAGTTCACCCAAGTAAGAATTTAATGAAGAACTCATGTTGGCACACCTGGCAAAACCCAAATCTGAGAGGTCCAGGTTTTCCCTTCCCAATTGAAATTCAAAACTCCATCCCCTGCACCCACCAGTCCATCACATGGCCCAATCAATCATCATCCCATCTGGAGACCTTCTTACAGATGCTCCTCTCCAGGTGCAGGGTGACTTGTCCTTGACTCTCTGAGAAAGAACGTTGTTGAGTCTAATCTTCCTCCTCTCTAAGAAATCCTCCCTCCCAAATTCCCAGGCACTAAAATGTGGCAGCCTCGAAGCTTCTAAGTAAAATAGGGCTTCCAAGGCTGGTAGTAGGACTTCAACTCAACCTCTTGCTTTCTAGCCAGGTACTTTAACCGCTACCCCCAAAATGGCTCTCAATTCTACCTATGGCATTTTGCTTTCCATCACAAACAGTATATTTAAATAAATGGGTCCGGTTTGCAAGAGACTAAAATCTCATGACATTCTCCTCAGTACTCATGATCTATTCTTGCCCGAAATCAATTCTCACCTGGGAAACCTGAGGAAGACCACCACAGTCAGCCATCTGCAAAAGGAAAAAAAAATAGTAGTGTTTTATTTTTTTTAAAAAAAATCCCTCTCTCAATGATACCTTACTTGCCCTGACACACAATTCACAGCTTGACTCCACAACCCTATATAAGGGAAGAATGGATTTTAATCATTGGACTGTGAGAAGCAAAAAAAGATTTCTGGATATAACGCTCACTTAGAAGACTGTTCAAAAGAATTTTAAGGGAGGGGTTTTTTAAAACTAATATTCCATTTCAGCTACAGATTTCCTAATGCCTGATGGTAAAAGGGAAGAGAAGGCACTTATTTTCTAAATGGAATAATTAGTAAGTCTTAAAACCGATGCTTTTTTTCACAGTGACCCCTAGGTCAAAATTGCATCCAGTTTTGGTCTCCATGATGTAAAAAAGATGTTGAGACTCTACAGAGAAGAGTAACGAAGATGATTAGGGGGCTGAAGGCTAAAACATATAAAGAACAGTTGCTGGAACTGGTTATGTATAGTTTGATGAAAAGAAGGACCAGGGGTGACATGATAGCAGTGCTACAATATCTCAGGGTTTGCCACAAAGAAGAGGGAGTCAAGCTATTCTCCAAAGCCCCTGAGGGCAGGACAAGAAGCAGTGGATGGAAACTAATCAAGGAGAGAAGTAACTCAGAACTAAGGAGGAATTTCCTGACAGTTAGAACAATTAATCAGTGGAACAACTTGCCTCCAGAAGTTGCAAATGCTCCAACACTGGATGCTTTTAAGAAGAGACTAGATAACCATTTGTCTGAAATGGTATAGGGTTTCCTGCCTAAGCAGGGGATTGGACTAGAAGACCTTCAGGGTCCTTTCCAACTCTGTTATTTTATTTTATGTCCAGAAATTGATCCTTCACATCAGTCCTTCAGATATGTTGGCCTTCAACTCCCAGAATTCCACTCAGCTGCTTGAGAATTCTGGGAATTCACAGGCAGATACATCTGTACTGGGGGACACTAAAGTAGGAAGTCTACCACAATTCTGCTGAATTTAATATCCCTCATCTCTTTTTGATTTAGTCACCATCTCTTTGTGAGAATGGGCAAGTTACTAGCTGAAAAGGCATACACTAACTAAATTAACCATAACAGGATTCGAAATGCAGTTCTTGTTTGGAATCACAGCATTTGAGGAGGTCTCTACATTTAGAGGGAAAACTCAGGACAACCAATTGTTCTACCATCCCTTGAATCCATCGGCCTGTTTTGATTCATGGCCCAACTTCTAAACTAGACAGAAATTTGAAAAACTTTTGAAATAACTTTCAAATTTTAGTTCAAAGACTAAATATAGAACGTGGGATGTGAACAAAGGCTTTGAGTTCCAGAAAAATCTTGTAATGCCTGCAGAAACTTCTCAACCCTAGAACCCTTCTTAAGTATTTATTGTATTAAGCTTGACGTGGATCAATGAAATGGTGCATGTTTACCACGTAAGCCAGCACGCTTCCCGCTGAGCAGGATTAAAATTATGGGATGAATTTCTAAACATAGTAGTATTACCTACTGACCCCTAATTACATTTAAGAGCCCTAATGCTTGTGCAAAAATATAGGTCACTGATTTTTGTCAGTCAAGGAGAAGGAAGAGTGACTCCCATACTTCTAGCCTTCAGCTTCCTACCTCTCTCTGATTTCACTACTATTTGCTTAGTGCATCTCCCAGCTAGTTGCATTGCTCGAAGTAGTAATACCTGGATCAAAACATTCTAGTCCAGGGATGTCTATCCTTGGGCACTGCAAGACATGTGGACTTTAATTCCCAGAATTCCCTCATCAGTTATGCTTCTGGGAGTTGAAGTCCACAAGTCTTAAAGCTGCCAAGATTGGACACCCCTTCTCTGGTCCTTTTCACAAAAACCTGAACTCTTTTTACATATCTGAAGAGCTCTGCTTGGGTCCCAGTGGTTACCTTTAAAAGGGTGGTCTTTGTTGGGTCAAGTTTAGCATTGCAGTCCACCTGTGAGCAAAAGGAACAGAGAGAAGGAAAGAAAAAAATTACCATGAGAGGACCTGACCTGGGGTGCTCACATTGCAGCACTGGTCAAAAGGGTCCAGCAGATTATACTACCTGAGTCTTCTGAGAAAACAACGAATGAATGAAAAACTGCTGGTGACCTTCTACCGCTGCACCTTAGAGAGTATCTTAACTTACTGCACCTCTGTATGGTTTGCCAATTGCACAGGGGCAGATAGGAAAGCACTCCAGAGGGTTAACGTCATTGCCCAGAAGATAACTGGTTGCCCTCTCCCCTCTTTGGAAGAGCTTTATAGCTCCCGCTGCCTTAAGAAAGTTCAAAACATTCTCAAAGATCCATCTCATCCTGGGAACCCTTTTTTTGAACTATTGCCATCTGGCAGATGGTACAGGATAAGAAAAACAAGGACAACTAAGCTGATAAACAGCTTCTATCCCAGGGCAGTAACTCTATTGAGTTCTATTGTATAGTGCAATATTAAGGCAATATCAGGGGTTTTCAATTCAATGTATAGAATGTGAAGGATGTGTGTGTTTGTTTTCATAGTGTGCACTGAGGACAGTGTTTGATTTCGTTGTACGAGGTGCAATGACAATAAAGTAAACTAAACTAAAACGCTGAGCTTTCACATCACATTTTCAGAAAAGCCTCTTGCATGCAATTTTTAGAAACTAGTGAATATATATATATATATATTGTATTTCCAGAATATATTATAAGTAGTCTCCAACTTAGAGTCATTCATTTAAAGATCATTTGTAGTTACAACAGTGTTGGCAAAAGTAACTTACTACCAGTCCTCGCATCGATCACTGCTGCAGTGTCCCCACCCTGACAAGTGGGATTTGGCTGGTTGGCAACTAACACACATTTACCACACTTGCAATGTCCTGAGGTCACATGGTGACCGTTTGTGGCCTTCTCAGCCAGCGCCCAACAAGTAAAATCAACGGGGGAGCCAGAAGGAGATAGCAATTGGCGATCCTGTGGCGTCTCACTTAATGACTGCATTACCGAGCAATGAATTTTCCAATCTCTATTATGGTTGTAAGTCAAGAACAACCTGCAGAGGATTTCAGGGAAGTCACTAGTGAAATTCTGGGTGCTAAAAAGCATCCCTCGATATTCCATTATTATTTTTCTGACGCCCCACTGCTCCTTAAGCAGGCAGAAACGGGAATTCTGTTTTCCCGTTTTTCACAAATCTATCTGGAGGGGATGTGCAAGTTCAAAGTTGGCAGCATCCCCCGTTCATTCTCCTTTGCTCCCCCCATTTTCCCCCTTTGCTGATATTCAAAAACAGGGCCTCTGAAATTATTCCTTAAACTCCATGTAGCCTGAAGACCACAAGTTATCTATCTACCCCAGGTTTCAAGACTGTCAGCTACGGAAGGAATTTAATCCTTCTCCTTACCTCTCACCAGCTGTCAGGATGCTTAGATTCCTGCTTGGACAGACAGCTGGATTGAATATCCAAATGACCCGCTTCCCAACCTATGCTATTATTTAGATTGCCGGAGAAACTCTTGTCGTTGATTGTAAGTGCTGCTTTTAATTCCTGTAATAACTAAATTGCCTGGTAAGAATTTTTCACCGAAAATGCGATGCAGGAAGATAAGGCTGTGATTAAGCGTTAATGATTCTGGAAAAGATCTGGATCTCTCTTTTTTTTTAAAGTCCCCCGCTTGAAACGACATAAATACTAAATACTTCACAGGTAGCTTGTCCATAAAATCTGTTTCTTCCATATTGCTTCCCACACTTTGGCTACTTCATCACAACATCCCCAACACTGTTGTGATAAGTTTCTTCTCACAACTCTTACCTAGCGGCTCCCACCTTAGTTCAGGAACAGACAAACCGGTTCAGTCCCTCACTTAGCTATGAAGCTTAATTAGTAACTTCAACTAAATCATTACTCTTCAGTCTTATCTGATTTGAGCCACATGGGTCAGGAATACAATGGCTGGGATTATTTGCAAGGTACCAGCCTGTGATGGCTAGTCTAGCTTATCTCAGAAACTTAGAAAGATGAGATGGCAATAAATTCACAGGACTGAACTATCTTGACCCAGGATCCAGAATTCCAGGTGAGCCCTATTTAATATTTTATATTTAAGCCTTAGGAAGTAGTACAATATTAGGCTTGGGTTATCAGCCCTAGATAAACTGCCATTTCCAAAACTTAGGGTTGGTTTTTTTTTGCCATCTTCAAGTAACATCATTGGATTGTTAGGGATATTATTTTAAAACCTGGAGGACAGAAGTTAATATAAACAGGTTGTGATCTTTAAAGAGAAATACTGAATGAGATTGCATGCTCAGAAGAAAACTGGGGGGATGTATGTATGTATGTATATTGTATTTCCTCTGAAAATACGACTTACCCCCAAAGTCAGTCCTAGCTTGATTTTTACACATGTGATATAATGATATAAGCCCTACCCACCCCCAAAATAAGCCCTAATTAAGACCCCGCCCACTCCAGGATCTGGAGCTCTGTTATTGGCTGTAGAGGCCTTCAGGAAAGCCTTGCCGGCCACAGAAACTGCTCCCGAAGGCCTCTGACAGTGAAAAGGAAGCTGGGGGCGACATGCGCAAGTGAGTCCGTGGGTGACAATCTTCCCCTGAAAATAAGACCCTGTGCCTTTTTTGGTGGCAAAAAAAAAAAAAAAAAAAAGACAGGGTCTTGTTTTGGGGGAAACATAGGTATGTATGTATGTACTATATATACACACATACATATGTATGTTATGTGTGTAATTTCCTGTCTTTGCTATTATGTACTTACCACAGCGTCAACTGCAGGAGAGCTGTCTCCAACCACCAACAGTGAAGGGCACCTGAAAGCAAACAATTAAAATAAGAGTCAATGGCTTTGCACCTCTTCAAACTGTATCAGAGAAAGACCAGGGTTGTTGTTTGACCAAATCAAACTCAAGGTGTTGACTTGTTGAGGAAAATGAGCCCTTTCAATTTCGTAAAAAACAAAATACAGCCAAATTATTATGGGTCAGGTGAAAATGGCCACTACGTAGGATCAAAGTTTATTTAGGACTATATGAGTAATGCCAGATTTCTTTTTTTCCCTACCCCCCAAATGCATAAAGGCGATTGCAAAGGCGATAATTACGCCGGCTTGAATGCCTCCACTTTTCGCTCAAATGATATAAATAACAATATCAAATGAATTCTTGTATCATTGGAGCAGCTCTTACTGATTTCCTCCTTCGCTGTTGTCATGACAGGCTGAATCTTTTCATTTTGCACCGTAGCAAAATGGAATGTATGGTTGGAAATCTAACTTAGTCCCAGGGATCACAGGGTTGAGCTCCCCGCTCTCATTTCTATTTAAGACTGAGTTTTGTTCTGCTATCACTCATTCTTGGCTTCTACCAGTTATTGCTTTTGTTTTTTGGGGTGCCTTAGAGTTAGGGTTAATAGGAGTGGTGTGGTGGCCTAGAGCTCTCGCCTGACAATCAGGAAGCTGTGAGTTCGCTCCTAGGTAGAGGCAGAGGTTTCTCTCTCTGGGCACACTGAGAATGAACAAAACTCCGCATTGGTGACAGGGAAGGGCATCCGGCCATTAAAACACTCTGCTAGCTCCATTCAGTTGCCCAGACTCCACCCCGCAAGGGATTATGGGATCATTAAAAATGAAGGTGATGATTAGAGTCAGTTGTTAACTCCTGGTGGTTGCTTGGTCAAATCCCTGCAATTTTCTAGGCAAAGTTTTTCAGAAGTGGTTTGCCGTTGCAAACCAACCTTCCTTCCCTGAGAGACGACGATGGGCCCAAGATCACCTGGTGACAACGTGGACCATTATTCACTTCTTAAATCTGTACAGTGGAAACTGAGAAAGTAGCTTTATAATCTTCATCAAAGCTTCAGTCAGGCTACAATGGGTTGCACACGGACTCCCAATAAGGAGTCAAGACAATCTTTCCAGGTTGTAGACCCCACTATGAGCCTTGGTGGCACAGTGCTTAGAGTCCAGTACTGCAGGCTACTTCTGCCGGCTGTCTGCAATTTGGCAGTTCAAATCTCACCAGGTTCAAGGTTGACTCAGCCTTCCATCTTTCTGAGGATTGGTAAAATGAGGTCCCAGATTCTTGGGGACAATAGGCTGACTCTATAAACCACTTAGAGAGGGCTGTGAAGCACTGTGAAGCGGTATATAAGTCTAAGTGCTCTTGCTAGTACATGCTCTTATCATTGGCCTTATCAGCTGTGGCTGACCTTTGAGGAGATCAGCTAACAGCTTCTGATCAAGCCTACATTTACTAGGGCTGTTAAGTCATGTTTTAGTGAGCTAGCATTCCCTCTGTGTGTTTTGCAATGTATTGATATCGCCAGGATTTTTACCCTTTGCAGAAAGAAGGGCAAGGAAACGCTCTGTCTCTTTTTTCCAACCCAACACTAAAAGGCTGACTGTAACCCAGACTTACTGTAGAGTATCCACATTTACTCCTGGAGCTGGACGTTCAATATCTAGATCTCTCCGGCTGCAAAACAAACAAAAAAACAATTGTAAGAAGTTATTACATGTGCAAATTGTAAAGCCCATTTCCCCAAAAAGGTAGGTAGAAGTTGTCCATATGAGATTGGTGGCTAATGTGCATTCCCAACCAAATGAGTAGATGATTAGAGGACTGCTAATCGGGCGTTCTAGCTTTCAATTGAATTCTGAGTACAGGTAGTTCTCGACTTACAACAGTTCATTTAGTCACCATCTTCATTTAACCGCCCCGTCATCTCTTGAGAGGTGGAGTCTGGGCAACTGAATGGAGCTAGTACAGTGTTTTGATGGCCGGATGCCCTTTCTGTTGCCAGTACGGAGTTTTGTTCAGCAGCTATACTCTCAGTTATGCCCAGAGAGAGAAAAATCTGCCTCTACCCCAGGGGATCAGTTTGTTTAGTGACTGTTCAAAATTACAACAGCATTCTTAAAAAGGAACTTATGACTGTTTTTCATACTTAGGACTGTTGCAGCAACCCTGTGGTCACATAACCCAAATTCACATGGTTGGCAACTGCTTCATATTTATGACGGTTGCCATGTCCTGGTGTCATGTGATCCTTTTGCGATCTTCCAACAAGCAAATTCAACGGGGAAGCCCGGTTCACTTAACAAACATGTTACTAACGTTAACAACTGATCCACTTAAAATAACGGTGGCAAGAAAGTTCATAAAATGTGCCAAAACTCACGCAACAGATGTCTCACTTAGCAACGGAAATTTTGGTGCTCAATTGTGGTTGGTAGGTCAAGCACTACCTGAATTCAGTGTTGTTCCAAAAGGTTAAAAACACAATGCATAGACCTGAAAAGCCCACTAAACGCAAGGAAACGAATGTCAACAGGTATATCACTTTTAATATTCTCTCTCTTTGTCCCTCTCTCTGGAATTCTCCCTTCAAGAGATTTAAATGTCAGTGGGAACCCCAAGCTTAGAACTAAGCTTCTCAAGCAGAGCTGGGTAGCAAGATCTCCAAAAACAATCTGAGATCCTGTTACTGATTCCCCCTCTGAATAGCAGCAGCAAATGTTCTCCTAAGCGCTTTGAAGAGTTCAGTGGTGTTATTACCTGTTGTAAGAGTTGACAAACAGGTGGAGGTTGTTTTGGTTCATGTCATTGATGATGTGCTGGCGGTAAGTATGGATCAAATCGTGGCTGCTGTGAATCTCCTCCTAGATTTAAGAAACATTCTCATCAAATATCAGTTAAGACCGGGCGAGGGAGAATATCTGGAAAGAGCAATGATGACTTAGTGTTCTGACCCAAACCCTTTTCCAATAAGACAAACAATAATCAAAGGGAATAGAAACTTTTTAATGAGTCTTAAGAATCCCCGGTTAAAAGGCTGCTGCAAACTAATTACTTTGATAAGCACAAACCTTGCCAAAACTGTATGAGACTGCCAAGAATCACAGATAAGAAATATTTCACAACAAAAGAGTCCAACTTAAGATACTGTAATGTCCACAAGGCTGAGTTTCAAAACGCCTTTGCTTCCTGCAAAGAACGTTCGCTTCAAGGCTGGCTTTTATCTTCTTGAAGGAGGGGCCATTACCGTTCAGCCTTACTCCTGAGTTGCCTGTGCTGTTGTAGTTGCTCTTTCCTGCGAGTATCCTGCATGCATGCGCGCTTGGCACAGGCTCCTCGGGAACCTCCTCATCGCTGCTGCCAGCCCCCACAATCTCAATGTGTGGAGTGTGAAGGCGCAGGATAATAAAAACAAGGACAAGTAGGCTGAAAAACAGCTTCTATCCCAGGGCAGTAACTCTACTGAATTCTACTGTATAGTACAATATGAATGCAATATCAGGGGTTTCCAATTCAATGTGTAGAGTGTGAAGGACGTGTGTTTGTGTTTATTTTTCATGGTCATGATGTGCACTGAAGATGGTGTTTGATTTCGTTGTACGAGGAGCAATGACAATAAACTAAACTAAACTAAAGAAGGCGGCTTACCTTGCCAAAAAGATGTGAAATGACCATGTCTGGTAAAGCATGAGCCCATCCAGAAATCTAGACATTTTTTTAAAAAACAAAGGAATACATTAGGATAATTCAAACACTCCAAGGATCATACGTACCATTACCTCAGTCATGTTAACACACTGGCATTCAATTATATACAGGTAGTCCTTGACTTACAGCAGTTCGTTTAGTGACCGTTGAAAGTTACAACGGCACTGAAAAATGTGAACTTATGACCCTTTTTTCACAGTTACCTTTCTGGCATCCCCGTGATCGTGTGATCAAAATTCAGACGCTTGGCAATTGGTTCCTATTTATGACCGTGGCTGTGTCACGTGATCCCCTTTTGCGACCTTCTGACAAAGTCAATTCACTTACCAGGTTACTAACTTATCCACCACAAGGGATTTCATTTAACAACGGCGGCTAGAAAGTCATAAAATGGGGGCAAAGCTCACTTTAACAAATGTCTCACTTAGCAACAGAAAATTTGGACTCAGTTGTGGTCATAAGCCGAGAACTACTTGTATTCAGAGTGAATAAAGAAATATAAACAATAATCTTTTTTGATTAGCTGAATGCGGGAAGCTACCAAGTTTATAAGCAAATATTTTTCTCATCTGCATTCAGATCTAGCCATGGCTATTTACTGGTGCCGGAAGAAAATCTGTACAATCACTATGTACTTTACAATATTACGATAGTAATGTTGGTGCTCAATTGTGGTTGTAAGTAGAGGACTACCTGTACTTTAAGAAGTATGTTTTCTTCCCCCATTAAATGTTTAGCCCTGAAAGGATACACTGAACACTTATATACTGCTCAAAAAAATAAAGGGAACACAAAAATAAGACATCCTAGATCTGAATGAATGAAATATTCTTATTAAATACTTTGTTCATTACATAGTTGAATGTGATGACAACAAAATCACACAAAAATTATCAATGGAAATCAAATTTAGCAACCCATGGAGGTCTGGATTTGGAGTTACTCTCAAAATTAAAGTGGAAAAAAATACTACAGGCTGATCCAACTTTGATGTAATGTCCTTAAAACAAGTCAAAATGAGGCTCAGTAGTGTGTGCGGCCTCCACGTATCTGTATGACTTCCCTACAATGCCTGGGCATGCTCCTGATGAGGTGGCGGATGGTCTCCTGAGGGATCTCCTCCCACACCTGGACTAAAGCATCCCCCAACTCCTGGACAGACTGTGGTGCAATGTGGCGTTAGTGGATAGAGCGAGACATGATGTCCCAGATGTGCTTAACTGGATTCAGGTCTGGGGAACGGGCGGGCCAGTCCATAGCATCAATGCCTTTGTCTTGCAGGAACTGCTGACACACTCCAGCCACAAGAGGTGTAGCATTGTCGTGCATTAGGAGGAACCCGGGGCCAACCACACCAGCATATGGTCTCACAAGGGGTCTGAGGATCTCATCTCAGTACCTAATGGCAGTTAGGCTACCTCAGGTGAGCACATGGAGGGCTGTGCGGCCCCCTAAAGAAATGCCACCCCACACCATTACTGACCCACTGCCAAACTGGTCATGCTGGAGGATGTTGCAGGCAGAACGTTCTCCAAGGCGTCTCCAGACCCTGTCATGTCTGTCACATGCGCTCAGTGTGAACCTGCTTTCATCTGTGAAGAGCACAGGGTGCCAGTGGCGAATTTGCCAATCTTGGTGTTCTCTGGCAAATGCCAAACGTCCTGCACGGTGTTGGGCTGTAAGCACAACCCCCACCTGTGGATGTCAGGCCCTCATACCACCCTCATGGAGTCTGTTTCTGACTGTTTGAGCAGCTACATGCACATTTGTGGCCCGCTGGAGGTCATTTTGCAGGGCTCTGGCAGTGCTCCTCCTGTTCCTCCTTGCACAAAGGTAGAGATAGCAGTCCTGATACTGGGTTGTTGCCCTCCTACGGCCTCCTCCACATCTCCTGATGTACTGGCCTGTCTCCTGGTAGCGCCTCCATGCTCTGGACACTACGCTGACAGACACAGCAAACCTTCTTGCCACAGCTCGCATTGATGTGCCATCCTGGATGAGCTGCACTACCTGATCTACTTGTGTGGGTTGTAGACTCCGTCTCATGCTACCACTAGAGTGAAAGCACCGCCAGCATTCAAAAGTGACCAAACCATCAACCAGAAAGCATAGGAACTGAGAAGTGGTCTGTGGTCACCACCTGCAGAACCACCCCTTTATTGGGGATGTCTTGCTAACTGCCTATGCTTTCCACCTATTGTCTGTTCCACTTGCACAACAGCATGTGAAATTGATTGTCAATCAGTGTTGCTACCTAAGTGGACAGTTTGACTTCACAGAAGTGTGATTGACTTGGAGTTACATTGTGTTGGTTTAAGTGTTCCCTTTATTTTTTTGAGCAGTGTATTTTATGAGTTCCCTCACTCTATAAGCTTCAAAGGATGAAGAAACATTAAAAACAAGAACAGCTTGGCTTCTAAGTCCCAGGTAATGTTTATTTCCGTAATCCCTGCACTTCTAAACACACTTTGATCTGTTTTAAGGTAAGTTTAAACAAATGTCTTTACCTTGGTTGCGGCCCAGTCCATCCACCCTTCAGCACATGAATTGACGTTGATAAGAACAAGACCTTCCACCATATCAGGGTAGTTAAGCTGCAGATTGAAGACAGGCACATGAGCGAACAGCCAGATATGATGGGGGGACAGAGGTAAAATATGAGGACTCCCCCCCCAAGTTTTATTGGATTTTTCTTTTTAAGTATACATCAATATCAATACATGAACAGTGTGGCCTGTGGGTATAATTCATTTTGATACGAACAGCAATAATGATAATCATAATAGTTGTTATATTAATCAAACTTACATAATCCTAGTATTAATATACATGGGTTTTTTAGAGTAGTTATTCAATAGTCCAATGTTCCATTTTAATGCCAATGATATTATAACCATACATGGTAATACTATCTTTCAACTTCTGATCTTTTCCACCAAACTATTAACTTATATTCTGTTATATAAAAATTATATCTGCTAATATTTCCCCTATTTCTTATTTCTACCACTATTCTAGCTTCTAATCAGGTCAACCTTTGCTAAACCTGGTGTTAATACACATGTTTATATTAAGACATTGTCCTTCATTATTTGATTGTTCAAAGTCACAATACGCCATTCAAATACCAGTCTTCCTATTATTTAAACATACCTAATAATACTAATAATCTCTTGTTGGGTGAAGGGACTTGAGGCTAATGGCACACTTGACCCCTTCCTCAGGCTTAGCCTGGTCATCTCCTACAGAAATATTGTGAAATATTTTCACACTGTACTCTGGCTTCTCAAATCTCAGCCATTACTTGGTGAGGAGGAAGTTATATCACATTCTGATGTTTGTTTGTTTGATACTGGATGTTCGCTACTCAAATTAAGGTTAAGCAGATCAGAAGATGTGAAGCTGAAAATAGTGTATTGTACTCAAGTTTATAGTAGTTTTACAAAATGTGCAACTAGGAAAAAAAAACAAACCGCCCCTATTCCCAACTTACAGCAAATCGGGTTAAAATGTAGGCCCCAGCTCCAGTTCCCATTCCAATCACGCTTTTCAATCTAAAAAGAAAGAAAAAAAAACTCAGGCAAATTAGAAATAAAATTATCTTTTTTTTAAAAAAAAGGAATGTGAAGTTGCGTATTGGCTTCTAATGCTTTCCATTTCTGGATATTATATTTCATATTCAATATGCATTCAGCAGTTGCTCCATGTCCATTGAGAACAGAATGGAGGTCATTTGGAGAAGACATCTCCATCCCAACTATTTCTATTCCCCCAACAAAAAAAAGCAAACAAAAATTGTCACAGCACAAGCCCTCAAACACAGCATGAAGATTTAAGAGTTGACCTCGTGCTCTAGATATGTCAGGGTAAATAGTTTAGTCTTAGCTCCCGTGGGCAAATACTTGCTTTAATCCTATTGACTAGTTTAAAGATTAGCTCAGAGTTTTAGACCGAACAGATTCTACACAACTCAACTAGCTGCAGAAAGAAGGCTGCTGAGCAGTACAGCAAACAGTTAAGTAAATATAAGTTTTATATTTATATAAAACTTTATATGAAACTCATAAGTAAATATGAGTTTTATTGAAATTTAAATTAAACTGCTTAAATTATATTGCTTAATAACCAGTTAACACTTTTAATTCAGAAACCTACCACACAATCCAGAGGGGGTGAATTTAAATATTTCTCTGCCAGTGGAATTGTATCAGAAAAAAAAAATATATATTTTGGGGATAGTGGCAGAAGAATCTGCTTCTAAAAGAAGAACGTTCAACCCATCTACTGCTACTATGGCCATCAGATGTGAAAGTTTTTCTTTTTCCGATTAACCAGCCCAATGAGGGAGATGTGGAGTCTTTCAACCACTAGTGCTCCAAAGTACAATGGATTCTAAAACCTCTTCAGTTCTAATAACCACCAGAGAAAAGAAGACAGATATGTAACCGTTTCCTAAGATGCTTGTGAGGGAACAGGAAAATGGTTTCTCTGAGGCCTGGTTGGAAAAACTTGAGGCATTCTATTCTACTCACCCAAATTGTTTTAGAACTCCAGGAAGCATGTCAGACAGCTGGTCCATGGAAGGATACATGTACCTATAAAACAAGTGTTAGAAAGATGTAACTCGTTTTCCAAAACATGGGAAGTAGTTATTCTACTTCATCCTCACTTAAGGAGGATTCGGAGAAAGGAGGGCAACAACAATAAACAAGCAGTATTCATATCATATTCATTCATATCAACAACGAGAGTTTGAAGAACTAGGTTTGTAATTAGGTTTGATAACTGGGGTGAGGGAATCATGGCACACTACAAATCCCTTAAAGGATGGTAGGTATACACACACACATGCATGCACACGCACGCACACTACAGGTAGTCCTCAATTTATGACAATTAAGCCCCAAATTTATGTTGCTAAGTGAGAAATTTGTTAAGTTTTACCCCATTTTAAGACTTTTCTCACCTCGTTTATTAAGCGAATTACTGCATTTCTAAAATTAGTAAGACGGTTGTTAAGTGAATCTGGTTTACCCATTGTCTTTGTTTGTCAGGAGGTTGAAAAGGGGGATTACACGACCCTGGGACACTGTGACCATCATAAATGTTGAGTCAGTTGTCAAACATCTGAATGTAAATTATGTGAGCATGGGGATGTTGCAGCGGTCATAAGTGTGAAAACTAGCTATGTTACCTTTTTCACCGCTGTTTTAATTTCAAATGGTCCCTAACTAATGGTTGTAAATCAAGAACTATTTGTACTACAAGCTTGGTTGCACCGTTTGTAAATCAGTATCTATTTTCACGGAGAAGAAATAAGGAAATGGCAAATTAAAATTATGCTTCAGAAACAAGAAGAAAAAAAACCTGGCCAGTAAAATTTCCCCTTCTTTCCCATGAGTCGCTTTGCAACTGAGGCTAAAATCTCCAAATTAAAACCCACTAAGGAGGAACCACTAACCCAGGCGGAAAGGAAGGAGCTCCGTCTTGCTGTCCGGGGGCATCCACGTGGCAGACCGCAAAATGCTGCGTGATTTCCTGCATGTCCTCATGATTGAAGAGGGGGTTGAAACACGTCTTGTCTTTGGGAGGGAAGCAAAGGAGAAGGTACAACTCTATTAAAACAGGCAAACCTTGGAAAAAGACCTTCTCAAGAGGGACTAATCACCACAGAGCCCTTGCAATTTTATTGCACGGTGAAATGGACAGGCACTGTGTGTGTGTGTCAGCTTGTGTCCATCTACGCACATTGTGAAAATAAGAGATGTTTACAACGTTCTAGAAAAAGACAGCCTAGCTTGATTTTTAGGAAAAGCAGTTTTTTAGGACAGCAAGCTGCACGGACGCTTTATTTCTCTGCATTTTTTTTGGCAGCACAAATCTGAAAAAGAGCTTTTCTTTGTAGTGTGGATATATGGGCTACTCCAAGTCAAGCTTTTCATCGATTTTTCATCAGTTTGGGCCTGCAGTTTGCACAATGCTCATTTCTAGTTGAAGAGACGGTTGCTGGATGAAAGGGGAAAAAAAATCGCAAAATCATTTTCCTGTGTGACAGACCTATTTCGCTATACAAAAATGCAGTTTCGTATTTAAAAGCAACACTTAAGTCCACAGCTATTATGCAACCATAGCTAAAGTGGATTTTGCTACAGGAAGATTTGATGAGGGATTTCTAAAATTTAAGTCCCACACACTTTCAGCATGACCAATTCACAATTGTTCTGATTCCACCAAGGAATTTCCATCCTTCATCCAGCAGCTCACAAAAATTAATACAAAATATTTGTTGAATGGGTTTGCCTACTGTGTTGTGCCAAGCCATAATGCGATGACATACTGATTTTCAAATCAGTGTGTGTGTGTGTGTGTGTGTGTGTGTGTGTGGTTTTTTTTTTGCCATGTCACTGTTGCTTCTTCAAAAGCCAACTGAAACAAGGCATAGTTTAGCACAATATGTGAACTCAGCCAATGTTGCATTAATGTTAAAGTCAGCCGTTCTAAATTTTTACCCTTCAGATATGTCAGGACTGCATCTCCCAGAATTCCCAGGGATCTTGGAAGCTGGACGAGATTCCTGGGAATTGCAGTCCCATCACACAGGAAGGATACCTTTATTTGGAAAAACTACATTAGATCACAAGGCACAAAACAGAGTAACTAAGCCAGAAATAATAAGTTCTCCACTGCAGGGGAGATATGAGAATGGGCAAGACATACTTACGATTCAACCCAATATCATGGTATGTCAGAATGGCAGGTCTGTTTCCCCGGAGTGTTCCACACATGGTGACATGGACTGACCCATGGACGGTCTCAATGTCTTGTTCCTGTGGGAGAAGGCAGCATTAGCCATCTGCACCTCAACATAAAGCCTTCTGAATCCCACCAAGTATTTGACATACAACATCTGGTAGCACCAGTCAAAACTAATTTAAGTAGTCCTGCTGAATTCTACTCTCAACATCTGCAAGAGTATAGTTAAAAAATGACAAATTATCCATTTGTACTTACAAGGGCAAAAGAAGTCCTTAGTAATGATCTATTTGGACCTCCCGTCAGAATAAAGAGGAGTAAAAATGAAAGAGAGGGTCAAACTGGGAGTTGAGTTGACTACCGTTTCTTCCTTGGTGTTCTCTGAGCTTCATTGTTTTCTTGCAGATATCTCCTTACCCAACTAGGGTAACATCACCAATGCTAGAAGGGAGTAGAGATCTTCTAGCACTGATGATGTTACCTAGTTCGGGTGACAGGAACGTCTGCCATGGAAATTCTTGCAGACTGCAGGAAAACCACCAAGCTCGGAGAACACCAAGTATCCCTCATTTCAACCCTGTGTCTTCAAAGCGTGATTTTGCTGTCGCAGCAATTACCGTTTTTCATCTGCCCACAACAATAAGGGGGAGGGAGAGCCACCTTTGGAATGCCAGTTCCAGGTGGCGGCAAGAAATCATCCCCTGGGAACCAAGGTCATCTAACCAGATGTTCATCCGAGACTCACACAGTTTCCATAAAACAATACCTGGCCGTCTAATTGGAAAGTGTGACTTGCACTAAAAGGGGGAGGGAAATTCTATTCTTTAATTATGTGAAAACCGCGGGAATTAGGTAGAGTTGATTTTGCTTTCACTCTGTGCTGATATGATGTACTCAATAAAGTTTTGCATTCAGAGATTGGAAGGTCTCAACTGTACTTGTTTGGTTGGGTTCATCAGTCGGAATCAGGACACCCTGAGCTACAAATAGTCTCCTTTATTACTACGATTCTCTGCAAGTTTACTGCATATTACTTCATACGATTGCCAACTTCTATCAGAGAAAGTTGCCAGAGTCTCTCTTTCCCACTATGTAGAAAACATCGGGGAGACACAACCCAATCTTTGCCAGATGTTCAAATAATAGATGTTCAAAAGTAATAGTTCAAAACAAGGCACTCTTTTTTTTTTTGAACTATTACCATCTGGCAGATGGTACAGGACAATAAAAACAAGGACAAATAGGCTGAAAAACAGCTTCCATCCCAGGGCAGTAACTCTATTGAATTCTACTGTACAGTGCAATATGAATGCAATATCAGGGGTTTTCAATTCAAGGTATAGAATGTGAAGGATGTGTGTTTGTGTTTATTTTCATAATGTGCACTGAAGATGGTATTTAATTTCATTGTACAAGGTGCAATGACAATAAAGTAAAGTAAACTAAACAATATTTGGGACTACGTGTCCCATAGTATCCATCCATTTTTGGTTATATCGACAGACTGAAATTGTTAGATGTCTCAATGAAGGCATTATAAGCTAATAACTTTGCTGAAGCAAAGAGGGCCCAGTACATTTGATCAGCGCATGAGTGTTATCGATATCTCATCCCAAAGAAACACAGAGGGTTAAAAACCAATGGGAACATTTGCCATTTTGCTCCCTTTCAAATTTCGTACGAACTCTGGCTGTTAAACTTGCTAGTTGCTTCAGTAGTACAGAATTAAAGAATATACCGGAACAACGGGTCACAATTGTTTAGTGTGTGTGTGTGTGTAATTAAAAGTTTTAAAGTGAACATAAAAACTTACATGAATTCAGGAGACGACAAAGAAAAGAGAAAGGAAGGGGAAAAAAAACAAATGTGCAGAAAAAAAGCATAACAAGAAATAAAAAGCAGCTTCTAATTTCCTTTGCAACAAATACAACAATTGTATGATTACAAAGCTCACTCCACGATTACAAATTAGCTCATTTTCACCCTAATATCTATTTCTTTTTTAATCATCAAAACCACATCATATATTTTTTCTCTTTCGTGCCAAAAGCCTGTCATAAATGTTTCCTGGCAGTCATAAACGTAGACATTGTCATCAGCAATCAAAGAAGAATTAAGCTTCCAAAAATTACCCCCAACTTTGAAATCCAAAGCAATAGTGACAGTAATTTTGTTTGTTTCGTTTCTAGCTTTCTATATTCCCTTTCCTTCCCAAAATACTTACAGCATTATGCAACAAATAGGCAGTGTCTTCCAGATTGAGCACCATTTTTAGAAAGTACAGTTTGAAGTTAATCACAACGAATCCGAAGAGAAAGATAAGTATCAGCTTTTGTTTGGGATCTGGGGAGCAACTGGTTTTTATAGCCAAGCGACTGCCCTGCCTAAGCCCTGAATCCTAGCAAGGAAACTATTGGGTGACATCATCCTTAAATCAGATTTAAAGGTGGCTTAACAGCAGGAATCTGGGTCCTGCCATCCAGCAAACATTGTGTGCACGGGGGTTGCAAAGGATTATAATCACTGTCCAGACAAGCCCCTGTCTTACAAGTAGAGAAAGGGCCCTTTTTATATTTTCATTTTTGTAGTGTTAATTTCATTAAGATTTTAAAAATATTTTTATAATGACTTGTTTTGTGTTTGTTGTTTTATTGATTGTCGTACGCTGCCAGAAGCTGTGGTTTCTCCATCCCTGGAGAAGTTTTTAAGAAGAGACTGGACAGTCACTTATCTGAAATGGGAGAGGGACTCCTTCCTGAGCAGGGGGGGTTGGAGTAGATGACCTCCCAGGCCCCTTCCAGCTCTAATCTGAATTGAAATCGAAATATCTTATCAAAAGGCACTTCTAAGAACCTCTTCCATGAAACGCTCCTTCCTGTCGGAGGATTCAAAGGCGCGAAAGGTGTACTGGAAAAAAAATTAGCCGTTATCTGAACTCCCATAGAAGGGATGGTGACTAAGAAGGCCCTCCTCTGTGGTCCCTGATCGAGGACGCTCCCTTGGGGAAAGGGACTCAGATATAACCTTCCCTTCCAGATTTTAAGACCAACAAGCCCATCGAAAAATCTGCCTTCTTCAAACAGACTGGTTATTCACTACGAGACCAGGAAACCTTTCAGGCTGCATAGAAGTTTGGGCTAGGGGAGATTATACACCCCACGGTAACCACGGCTAGACAAGGATTAGGATCCAATTTAATAAATGGTCTGCACTGAGATGCCCTTCAATTCTTGCTCTAAGCCCTTCGGCACACGACTCCGCCTGTCAGTTGTCTCCAGTCATCTCTGGGTGAAATCTGTGGGGCTCGCAGGAGGCTTCCCCCATGAAAGCAGAGGTCATCTCATCCTAGTGAACATCAAGTTTTGTCGCTAAGAGGCTCTTTGCTGACAACCCTGGGGCTTGCAACCCTCCCCTTGGCAATAAAAATATCCCAGGTACATGCACTAATCCGATAGGAGGCTGAAGATCAACGTGCCATCTGGCGCCTTGCAGAAAGCTGGGAGCGGACTGCAGAGTAGTGTGTCTGGGCTGCATTTTGAGGTTCTTTATTGCAAATTCAGATCGGCGTGGTGACCTAGTGGGGAAGACTCTCGCCTCCTGCTCGGAAGGTTGAGAGTTCGAACCCAGGTTAGCAGCGAAAATGTACCTCTCTCTCAGGGTGCAAAGAAGAAAAAAAACCTGCTTTGAGTTCAGGAAGGGCAAAGCTTGTTTATCCTAATTGCTGTAATTCTGGAGAAAGAGATGGACTGGCTCACTCACACCACACCACAATGTGTCGATGAGTGCTTTTCCCTAGGAGGACCAAACGCATACCGCCTGAACCTGGGAAAACCTAGGAGCCCTGGCGGTGCAGTGGTTAGAATGTAGTAGTGCAGGCTAACTCTGCCCGCAGCCTGGAGTTTGATCCTGACTGGCTCAAGGTCGACTCAGCTTCCTATCCTTCCGAGGTCGGTAAAATGAGGACCCAGATGGTTGGGGGCGGTATTCAAATAATGCTGACATTGTTAATCCCCCACAGAGTGCTGTGAAGCACTTTAGGGTGGTATATAAATCTTGAGCCGTGGTAGCGCAGTGGTTAAGAGTGCAGTACCACAGGTTACTTCTGCTGCCTGCCGGCTGCCTGCAAAAATTTGGCAGGTCAAATCCCACCAGACTCAAGGTTGATTCAACCTTCCATTCTTCTGAGGTGGGTAAAATGAGGACCCAGATTGTTGGGAGCTATAGGCTGACTCTGCAAACTGCTTAGAGAGGGCTGTAAAAGCAGTGTGAAGTGGCATATAAGGTTAAGGGCTAAGGGCTATTGCGGTCTGGATGGGATAATCCAAGCAAGTTGAATGGTTAATGGTCATAAGGAACTAGTGTTTGTTAGCCTTGATGGAAGTGGAATTATCGCTGAATGCTTCCTCCTTTCCCAGTATCTAGTTAATAGAACCAGTGCTTTAACTGAGAATAGCTTGAGCATCGTTTGTTACTCCCTTCACCTAGCTCAAAGGGAGATTTTGCAAGCACCCTGGCAAACAGTCTCTCTGGATAACAGATAATCAGAGATGGAAGGGACCTTGTAGGTTATCTAGTCCAACCCCCCCGCCCAAGCGGAAGGCCCTACACCATTTCTGACAGATGGCAGTCCAATCTCTTCTTGAAAGCCTCAAGCCTCCCACAACTTCCGAGGGCAAGCTATTCCACTGTTCTCACTGTCAGAAAGTTTCTCCTTGTTTCCAGGTTAAATCTCTCCTTGTTCAGTTTCCATCCATTATTCCTTGTCTGGCCTACAGGCACTTTAGCTTGACCCCTTCCTCTCTATGGCAGCCCCTCTCTGTCCTTGTATTGGTGAAGTGGAGGACATTAGGAAGCCAGTCTTTCATAGTTATTTAGAAATGGAGAAAATTTACTGGAAAATGGAAGTAATGATATGATATAGAATTGAATGTGAAAGATAAACATGTACTAAGGTCATGTTTGTGTTGAAGTGTAAGCCTGGAACTGCGTTGTTCACTGAAAGAGATGTTTTTAAAATATAAAAGAATATTACCCCGCCCCCAAAGAAATCTTTCTGCAAACTTTAAATGGGGGGGGGGGGGGGGGGGGGCTCAACTGTGACCATTTTCATACTTGTGGACTGAATTCAACTCCCAGAATTCCCCAGCCAGCCACCCCTGGTTGAAATTAATGTGGAGATGCTTACTGGCTGAGCAAAGAAAACAAAAAAAACATAAAACCAAACATTTCCAGCATGGATTATTTCATTAAAATTTCTTTCTGATCAGTGTGGGAAGACCCCAAGCTGATATACAGAGAATACAAATCAATCACTCTTTCGTGGGGCATCTATTCCTTAGCATTTGCAGGCTTCGGAAAACACCACCAAAGCAAGAGTTAAATGCAAAAGTTTGAAAACACATAAATCAAACCTGGCAACTTGTTCATCTGCCAGCTTTAATCAGAAATTTGCTTTCCCAAGAACCCTTTTTCTCTAAGTGCTTCTATGAAACATTCATGTTACAGCTTATATTATAGCGATTGGCTGTCTCCATGGACCACTTAAAGGGAATCAACTATGTTTCCTTAGATTCCTATGGCGATATTTAACCGTGGTTAAAAAGTCTGACACACTTACATGAATGTCAACCTCGATATCAGTCAGGAGACGAGTGATGGCCTAGAAAAGAGAAGTTACAAGAGGGTTTACAAGACCGAAAGCACCAAAGGTTTCATTTCTGAAATAAATGCTGTGGAGATTTCTTATTAGCTTTGCCCCCTTTATGTAAGTTTAATGAAATAAGATGTTGTCTTGTTTAGAGAGGATCTCACCAAACCAACGGAGCAGAAGTTACAGGGGTCTTTGGGAAGCCCACTGGGTGACTCTACATCAAGGATCTGCAAACTTAGCCAACTTTAAGACTTGTGGACTTCCCGGCCAGCATGGGAATTCTGGGAATTGAAGTCCACGTGTCTTAAAGTGACCAAGTTTGAAGGCCCTTGCTCTAAATAAAATCAACCTGGGTCCAATCCAGAAATAAGATCAGGACTGCACTGGTAAATAAGGCCAGAGCCTACAGATGCTATTAACTCCATCATTCCTCCTGTAAGTGGAAATCTTACGATTCGTATCATTTGCAGATCCTCAGAAGCATTCATCTTGTTGACTGGGACTTGTAGGAGGAAGAAATGAAGGCGTTCCAGCTTATTGGTGGCCTGTGTGATGCCTCCTAACCCCACAATAAAATTGATTTTACTCAAACCGTCACTAAATTTGGCTCACATAAATGACTACTCCCTGTATATTGGAACACCGTAAATGGCAGCTGGCACCTCCCCGGAGAAATCGATCTTGTGCCAAATCGGCCTATCCCACCTCCAAAATAGAGGCCTAGCAAAGCTCATTTTAGGATTTACGTCACTTTGCGTCTCTCAAAATGGCAGGAAATTGTTCCATGGGTTTTCAGCTCTTTTATCACAGGAAGTTCTGCAGAATTCAGGTGACCAATTTGCTCACTGTTAGTCTATACTTTTCACTGAACAGCGCTACATTTTGGGGACCCAGCAGCATCTTATAAATGGTGAAGTGCCAAACACCCCCAGGGAGTTTTGAATCAGCCACTTTCTCTCTGTCCATCCAATTTCACAACTCCCAAACAGGCTACTTTGAGTTCCAGAAGAAAGAGAGGGTGAAAATTGAAGACATACTAGAATAACGAATTACATTTGTGAAAGAAAGCATTCTGCAAGAAGCAGGGCATGCTAAGATGATAAGCGGACAGAACAAATGATGTGGATAGCATTTTAAACAAGCTTACATGGCAGTAGACGGATGTGAAAATCACTGCCGAGTGAGTGCTGGGGAGGATTATCCCATACACGTTGTTCCTACCGCTCTGCAGAACAGGGTCTGCGATTTGAGAGTCTGAAAGTTTTGGCAGTCTTTCTGGTGCAGTTATGCAAACTCCTCTCTTAAGCGGACAGCAAACCCTGCTGCCTTGTGGCACTGGTGATGTTACCTAGCTGGGTAACGAAACATCTGCAAGTAAACAATCAGTTTTCGGAGAGCACAACTTACATCTTCTTTGTTGACTAAAGGCTTCTGCTCTGCAACACGGGACCCCGGACCACCTGACGACATTGTCAACAGTTGGTACCTAAGAAAATGAAGAAATGTTCAATGTTCCTTAAGGCCAGAAGTTACTACACACATATCGCCCCAAAGAAGAGAATATCTGAAACTCCAGGTTTCACTATGGGGTCCTTGGTGCTCTCTGAGCTCGGTAGTTTTCTTGCAGACATTTCATTACCCAACTAGGTAACTTCCATCAGTACTGTTAGTGTTACCTTGTTTGGTAACGAAACGTCTGCTAGAAAACCACCAAGCTCAGAGAGCACCAAGGATCTCACACATATCTGCGTTTTGGCAAGGTTGAGATTTTTTTCAAAGCCAAAAGCGTAAACCTGAATAGACCTCTGCACAGGTGCCCGATAGGCCCCACAGAACATGGACGGATGATGCTTTGAGATGTTTCAGGCAGCAGAGGTCCTGCCTTCCAGAATTCTCTTGACTGAACGCTCAGCGGTCAAGAGCTGACCGTTGCCTCTGTCTCACTTTTGCAAAATCAGCAGGCAGGCAGGGTTCCACGGCTGGGTGGCTTTTCAACACTGCAAATCCATTCACTTAGTTAGATGGAGTAAAACAGGAGAGGTGAAATGACCAGATGGAGGAGGCTCCGTGTGTTTCCTGCTAGCCTTGCTGGTATTCCCTTCTTATCTTCAATATCTTCATATATGTATTTATATATATATCTTATCTTCAATATATATAAAAGCGAAATACCACTCATGCATCATCACAAAATCTCCAGAATCGTAAAGCCTAACAAACTTGAAATTTGTCCCGTATATTCCTCTTGGCTTCTAGGTGCTTGCTAAGAAAGGATTGTTCGAAATGACCATCAGAGCATTAGCATTTAGTATATTATTATTATTATTAACACATGCTCTGATGCTAAGGAGTTCTACTCCCCCTCCCCACCTGAAAAAAAAATCTGTTCCAAATGCAAAACACAAGCAGAGGAGAGAAGTTTCAGTTTTAGTTTCACAGCACCAAGCAGCTTTAGTACAGAACAGTTGAGCTAAATCATGCCCAGGCTCCTTGTTGTCTCCTTCTTGGTCACACAGCAAATACTCTTTCAGTTTCCAAACAGCCTCAACTCTCTCATACACTGACAGGATGCTAGCCAGATGAATACCGATGGATGCTGGTGGGCAGAGGCAGAATTTTCCCTCCCTTATTTTCCTCCCCCAAAATTAAGCCCGACCACATAGTTTCATAGCGAAGCACGGGTACCTAGCTAGTAAGCTGATAAAGCTGGAATGGTTAGACAAAAGTAAAGGACAATGATCATTTCTTTTCCACTTCAAAAATCAGAGTGACAGAGCAGAGCAACGCATTTGACAGGGTCACACTGACAAGATAAAACATGGGGAACAATCAGCAAAAAGCATTTAAAATAACCACAGTCAATATAATATAATAAATATAATATAATATAATATAATATAATATAATATAATATAATATAATATATATATTATAGATAATATAATAATATATAGTATAGATAATGAGAATAAACAGACCATCTATGATTGTATTCGAAAAGGCACCTCAGTTCGAATTTTCCTCACCACGTTAAGCAAGGGATATCTGAGCATGCAGAAAAAACCTTTCCAACTGTTGGATTTATTTTTATTTTATTTATTTATTTAATTTGGTTTGTCAATTGCTTACCAGGTAATAGGTATAAGTAAAAACATAGTTATGAATACATGGATACATATAAGAAAAATAAAAGAAACAATAGGACAGGGGCGGTAGGCACGTTGGTGCGCTTATGCACGTCCCCTAACTTCTGGATCAAATAATAAGATTTACGTAATCACAGAACTTATCTCTGGGGTTAGAATTAAGACAGCAGCATGATAGATAAAATTAAGTGACATATCTTAGGATAGGGTTAGCTTTCATTATTGTACCAAGGGCCTGTAATAATTGGTTACCAAAAAAAAAGTAGATGGAACTGAGCCAAGGACCCAACAAGTAAATAATCAACAAATCTAATTTACGTTCAAGGTACAGATAATTAAACTGCACCGATATTGCAACTCAGTAGTTAGTTGCAACTGAGTGACCTGAAACCAGACCTTCTGTAGAAGGCATATTGGGGGCCATGGTCTAGGTGGGTAACTTTGAGGAATCCATGGGAATATTTTGACATTTTCAAATTAAATGCTGGTGTTTTCACAGTGTGATGGTCATAACTGACCTGAACCAGTCACAAGACATGTAGAAAGCAAATGGTTGGATAGTTTGTCCACCCTCCTGAATGTTTCACTCCATTTTATTGTGATGTTTACTTCCTCTCCTCTAGAAACCTTGGACACATTTCTGTACAAGGCCCCTGAGTAAACCCAACATTTTGGCTTCTAAAAATGCCAGGGCTGCCTTCTTGTAAGCCTTAGAAATGTCCTTGTAAACAAACACAATCAGTGTTTGTATCACAGCAGGAGAGGCCTCCTCTCTAGTTGTTTGAATTTAAATAATCTAAAATAAAACAAAGGCAGAGAGGAAGGAAGTTGGTGGTCACCCAATATTGTGCTCATGATTCCAGTTTCCCTGGTGGACATTCTAAGAGGACAGAAGGCTGAGATTGCCGTTACCAAGGGACATTACTCAAATCATAAAGACAAGTCATGCCAGAGTTTTGATTTCACTTCCCCAGAGAGGATGAGGATTGAGTATTAGAAGAACTCCATGGTCCCCCATGGATACTTGGATAGAAAAAATGATAAAAGAACACACGGATTTATAACCAGAAATATTTCTGTTGGGTATTATACCAGAAAAATATAATAAAGGGACTATGTATCTAATGCTACATGTTGTAACAGAGGCCAGAATTGAATTTGCACAACTTTGGAAAGGTGTGGAGAACCCTATGAAAGAGAAGATAATAATTTTTTAAAAATAGAATGTGCAGAAATGGATAGATTAACACTTGAAATTAAAGAGAAGGAAGATACAGAATATTTTGAAACACGGGATTCGTTTTATCAATGGCTAACAGAAACAGAAATTAGAACATTTAAAATTACAAGAGAATGATTAATTTTACTATGAGGGCTTATAATGATACGTTTACTGTTAATATGATTTAGTATTAACAATGAATACATATTGAGAAAATACTGTTTATATGATCACTACTAATGAACATTATCACTGTTATGATGAGCATTGCTCAAATTAACTGTAACCAGACAATACAGTTTATATAGACATTGAAAAGAACTCCATGGTCTAACACTGTGAGCTGAACCTTTCTTTCAAGCAAACCACATAAAATTAATGAACAAAACCAGGGGAGGACTATACTCCTACAGTTTTACCCAGCAGGGGATCCAGAGGCCTCACAGAACAAGTTTGTCGACTTGCAAAATGCATAATGAAGTTCCGCCACAGCCAACTCAGGGTCATTGACAAGGTCCCTCATTAGCTGTCCTTCAGACAGACAAGTGGCCTTTCCATCCGGAGGTCTGTCCGATTCAGGCATCCAAAACAGGATCCCATCAATTAAGCATGCTCAGAAATATTGATAAGGGTTTCTTCTTTGACACACACACACAAAAAGAAATGTTTATGCTCTGTTAAACTTAGCCAAGCTATTTAGTCTTCCTTCCTTTCTTCCTAAAGGGGAAAAAAAAATGAAACCCTGGTCGTAGCAGAATAACAGAATTGAAAGGAACCCTGGAGATCATCTAGCCTAACCCACTGCTCAAAGCAGAAAACCCTATACCATTTCAGACAAATGGCTGCCCAGTTTCTTCTTAAAAGCCTCCGTCTCATCATAAAGGGACAGGGGAGGAAAAAAGTGGAAGAATTTTTGGACCTATCTCGTCTGCCAACTCATCTCTTGCCTCCAGAGGGAGTTCGGAGCACACCGAGAAATGACCCAGAGTTCAGGCACCTTCAGAGAATCCAAGGACAGAGTTCCCTCACGGTGCTTTCCGGCAATATAAATCACACGCGTGACTAATACGGAGAGCACGTACGCAAGGTAAGACTCCTACCCCCCTCATAAAAATACCTCATAAAATAAGAAATTGGTGTTTTTGTTTTTGTTTTAAATCCATGCGCAACCTCTTCTCGTGAGGTGGCTGCCAGATATTTAACGCTCAGCTCACCAGTCTGATGGAAAGAGAAGCTGCACGCCCATCATTTGCACACACACTTGGAGCACATCGATTTGGGGAAAAGTCATTTTGCTACCTTCTGCATTTCAGGGAGACAAGCACATCTTTACCTCAGTTTAGCCTTTTTTTAAAAAAAAATGGGGATGGCTCTTAAGAAAGCATGAAATGGCATAGCTACCAATCTGGCAGCTCGGCAGTGCAAACCAGCAAACCATGCCTTGCATATCATGATTCCTTTTCAAATATATCAGCTGAACCTTGTAAGCAATGGATGGAAATTGATCGAGGGGAGAAGCAACCTCGAACTAGGGAGAAATTTCCTGTTGGTGAGATCAGTCAATCAGTGGAACAGAAGTTGCCTCCAGAAGCTGTGGGTGTCCCATCACTGGTGGTTTTAAGGAAGAGATTGGATAGTAATGATATATAGGGCAGGGGTCTCCAAATTGGGCCACTTTAGGACTTGTGGACTTCAACTTCCAGAATTCCTCAGCCAGCCATGCTGTCTGGGAATTCTGGGAGTTGAGGTCCACAAGTCTTAAAGTTGCCAAGAGTTTGGAGACCGCTGCCCTGTACCATTTCAGATAATCACTATCCAATCTCTTCTTTAAAACCACCAGTGATGGGACACCCACAAGGTCCCTTCCAACTCTGTTATTCTGAATGTGCTTCCCTTACTTCCTCTCTTTATCTTTGTGTGAATTAGGGAGGGGCCTGTCCGATGTGCTTTCTCAAGTTACTTTCTTGGAAGGGGCTCAAGTCCCTCTTATCAGACGACTGCTTTAGTAACGGGGCTCTTCTTCCTGCCTTCAGGGCCATTCTCTCTGGTCTCAGTATAACCTGACCTGCAGGTTTGGAGGCTGAACATCCAAGTCTCAGCAGGATGCAGGAGGTTATA